TGTATTAAGATTTTAAAAAATTCATATGCTCCACAAGTGGTGTAAAAGAATCAAACTCAATGTGCATAAATTACGTTAACAAATAACGGTGGCACATAAAAAGGGCCAACAACCAACCTACATTGATGGATGAATATATGATATATTAATAGGTGGATGAAAATCGTGGTCAGGTCCATTCATTTCTACTCTATCAATTTATTATGTACACAATAAATGGTCTTCATTTATTAAGGGTTACTATCACCAACATGTGTATTGTTTTTTCATGTTTCCTTTCCTATAAAGCAGTCTTCTTTTAAACTAAAATAATAAAATAAACACTTCCCATTTCAAGATCTGAACACAGTTAAATGACACTTGGGTTTTTATTTATTTATTTATATATATATATATATATATATATATATGTATTTCTTTTGCATACAACAACACCATCCTCTAAAATTACAGTTACTCAGTCTTAATAAAACAAAAATATTACTTTTCACTACCAGTTGATCTTTCAATTTTCGGTAATTTTAGGATCGAAATCTATTATTTGACATAACACTGGAGTCTTCTAAATTTCAAGACCACAAAAATATCATATATCAACTATTAAAAACACTGCCACAAGTACTTACATAGTAGATTCCAATGAAATCAGAAAACTTAATTAAATAAACTTAATGACCAGGAATATATTTAATCTAAGTACCGTTTTTCAAAAGTTTTTCTCAAAAGGACCAAAACAAAGAGTATTGGCCAGAATTACGTGCAAGCGCAGCCTACCGACTCAAGTGGGCCGGGTGACGCAAAGCGACCGCCCCGACCGGCACCCGGCCCGGGGATTGGCCGCGGGCGCTGCGCGCCTGGGTCGCCGCCCCCGCCGCACGAGAAAGCGAAGCCAAATGAAAGGGAAATGAAGAGCAAAGGCAACGAAAGCAAAGCCTTGAGCGACGAGCTCGAGATTGCGCATTCACTAGATCGCGGAGCCGCACCAATGAACAATGTGCCGACGCCGTACTCGAATCTATTGTGCAAAAAAGCCATGCTGGGTTGTACCCGCGACCAATTGAGCGCATTCTGAAGTATCGCAGACAGACAGAAATCGAGTTCTCCGGTGCCCTTTCAATCGCCTCGGGGGAGGGCCTCTCGTTTGTCATGACGTGGTGGTGTCGCCTTAGCGCTGGAGCCCTTGATTTATGTTCCTCACCTTGATTGATTCCGTCTGTCTCGTTTTTGCTATGCACCCGGTTGTTCAGGGCGGCGGAATTCTTTGCTCCAGAAGGGTTGTTTTGGAGGAGGCGTTGCCAGACGTTGGTGCTGGATTGTGATCGAAAGATTGATGCTTTGGGGATTCGTGTGGAGGTGGAGATTGGCGAGAGGAGTGCTGTAGTTGTGTGACGATGAGAAGCGTTCTGGCTTGGTACTATAGTGGAATTAGGGGCTCGGTCCGGGTGGTCGTGATGTTGTTGGTGTTGATGATGGTGCTAAGCGAGGCAGTGCGGGTGGAATCGGCGCGGCCGATGCGTGCGGAGGGGGAGGACGTCAGAGGGAGCGTCGCGGTGGCCGGGTCCGTCGAGCCTGAGAGCGTTTCTTTGGCTGCGGGTGTGGAGGACGATGGGAGAAACGCGGTCGTGTCTCATGAGTGGAGGATGTCGGCTGGAACGCCCGGTTCGCTCGCTGGCGACGCGGTGGACCCGATTTGGGATGTGGAGGCAGAGTCCCCGCCTGCACAGAGGCAGCGCGATCGCAGTCTGTGGGGGATGTCCAAGCGGTTGGTCCCGACGGGTCCTAATCCGCTGCACAACTAGCGTGGGAGCAACTTCCAAGGCTGAAGCCCTGAGCACGTAGAAAGAAAAGATGAAGGGATTGTTTTCTCGCGTGGTGGCTGGAGTGAGTGTGTTTGTGTGTGTGTGTGTGTGCGTGAGTGCGTGTATACTGGCTGTACACATTAGAAAAGCAGATGTTGTTGAGTGTTTGATTAGTTACTTCATGAATTAGATAAAATTTCCATGAAACTATGTGCTCCCTAGATGATTGAATGTGGAAGTATAATGTGGTGGGTTCGTGAGGTCTCAGAAGACGCAGATTCTATGCGACGCTTGGGCGTGCAAGTAATTTGAGCCGCTTGTAGTCGGTGCACGTAGAGCATTGAGGATTGATTATTGTCCACGCGATCTCGGGTGCTTGATAGCAATTTAAAAAATTGGTGGTGCTCAAGGAATGACCACTTTCGAGCACGTTACTCTACGGACCTGGTACCCTTGGAAAGCTGTCGTGCAACTGCTCAGAAACGAGCAACGATCTTTACGTCGTGATGCAAGGAAAATGATTTGTGGGTAAACGTTCACCTGCACAGTGGACTTTTCAAGAGTGATCACAAGATTGAATTGAAGTGGAAGCTTTGAAATCGCTGTACAGTACTAAGGTTGGCTCTGGAGATGAGTTGCAGTGGCGCTGTTGGGGCCGTAATTGTAGGACTATGACCAGCAGAACAGAAGCTAAAGGAATTGTTCATGTGAGCCTCTCTTATGTTCCAGGACGAATTGATCCCTCAACCCTTCAGAATTTAAGTACTGTTGTTAATTCCGGAATCCCTAGAAAACATGATTCGCTGGATTAGTGCTGGAGATTATGTTTCTTTACATGCAGCAATCGACTTGAGCTGTAGGAGTTCATTTCGGACGAGGATGTCTCATGATCCTCAACATGAGCGAGAGAGAGAGAGAGAGAGAGAGGGCTTCCTCGAATTGGAACAAATATAGCATTCTGAATAGGACCGAATCAAGAGAGTTTTACACATATACACATATGGGTAGCTAGAAAGAAAATCATGTGACTCGATTCACAGCCATTATATATCAATTTTCAGTTAGGCATTAGGGCTCTGTAGGGACGCTGGCAGCCGTTGCAAACCAATTAGCTGCGACCTTTTTAAGACGTCTCAAGAAAATAATTGTGAAAGGTGTGTGCTGTCTGAGTTTACCAGAACTTAGGCCTTTCTCGTGATTGCTTTCCCTTTGATGCTTCAGACGTCGGAAACTGCCTTTTAGACACCTTCATCATATGTGTCTGCCACGTCCTGTCCTTACCGCGTCCGTAGGTGGCTGCACTATGCTATCAATCACGTGTGAGTTAGATTGCTCCAATAGTTTCCAAACTATAGGATATGTAACATGGCTTAGATTTCATATGTGTACCTGGATTCTCACCAAGCCTCGAACTAGAGTAATTGAATGTTTGCGTCCCGATCTTCTTCAAGGATGTGTGTTTGATCTACTCCTGCGCATGAACTGCACACGGGATGCATGCTGGTCAGTTTCTTGGTGGATTGAATGCAGTGATTCTGTCCGCTGTTGTCGGAGCAGCTAAGAAAGTACAGAGAGGAGGTTGTAATGCACGTCTACGTTCGAGTGATGAATATTGAAACAAGCAGCAATTGACTCATTCATTAGGGATGTGACCGAAGTTACCCACCTGCCAGCTCAGTGACACAACACAATCCGTGAGACTGCTTGCACATGAATTGGTCTGGGATTTATCAACGTATGGAAGCCTTGACACCACTCACGGAGGGTTGATGGTCCGCGATGCATACAGGATACAATTTGCGGTGATTCACGGTAATCTTGCCTTGTCTACTGGAGAATTTATGATTAGTTCTTATTACCGTGAGCGTCGCAATGAACTTCCATCCATCTCCCCCCAGTGCCCCTCCAGCTTTATCCATTAGCCTTCTTCAGAAAATTAATAGTGAAGCAAAGTTACGTTCATTCGTGCATTAATCCAACATCGAGTTTGTCTCAAGCAGTGAATTATGATCACGATTATCGGCTCATTTCATTGTGCATGTTTCATCAATTAAACCGAAATATTGTCGAGAAGGTCAGGTTTAGCTCGCAGGGCCTGTAGAATCGAAGCCAATCGAAAGGAAGGACCATCAAAAGCAATAGTGTGTGTGAATTTGTACTTGAATAACTCTTGGAATTACGGCGGTGATGAATGAGATTCGGCGCGCTTTTGTTGGCGCACAATCAATTGGTTGTTGGAACTAGGGCAGGTTAGGCTGAAAGGGTTCTTTTTATATCAAAATTACTCATCCATGCATCGCATAATCTGTACGTTTAAGTAAATTTAATAAACCAGTATATGGAAAGAAGAAGGGGGGAAAAAAGAAAAAAAAAAAAAAAAAAAAAAAAAAAAAAAAACTCACGTGACTGAACCACATCAAATTTCAACGATTTACTGAAGAGATCTTTTAGAACGATTTTCAAACTTCATTGATACTTCACTAAGCGTCCTTTGTGAATCAGCAAATTATACAAACTGATATGTAGCAGAGACTTTGACAAACAGTTTTCTGCTTACGCGATGAGGTACAATATAGTAAGTACACTGACATCTGAGCCAATGCTGATTTTAAAGTAGACTACTGCAGTCCACGAATTGGCACTCGTTGGAGCAGTGGGTAGTTTGAATTCACTCTCTGTCCCGTGTACTGAACAAGAATTGCAAACAAGATGAGTTGCAGAGAATCCATCGTGACTGGATGTATCAGGATGGACCCTACTATTACCTGCGTAGAAGCGGTTGCCAGTTGAAAAGGAAAATCTGCAAATGCATATGAGCAAACTACGTTAAATTCCACGTCTCCGATCTTAGTACGTGATCCGCGTCCCTCTGTGCGCAAGCATGCACGACTACGACCACGACCACGCCAAGCTCAGCTGCTGCGGTACAAAAAGGTGCAACACTATCACAAATGATCGGGGGAGATTAAATCTTTGATCCGCCCTCCCCAATGGCGATTGGCCCACTTGCAAGATACCATAATCGATTGTGTACAAAATACGTCAGCGAAAAGCGTTCTAGCTATATAATTCACGTTAAACTTACTGCTGGAACGATGGCAGTAAGTTTTTCGGCCAGTCAAAGCTGGGCACATCCATCCTAGACCCACAAAGAAGATGTGGTCACTCATTTAACAAAGGGCACGTTAGGAAGGCACGGTCTGCGAAATGCTTCACTTGATTGATAACATGGCAAATTCCAATGTGTCTTTACTAGGGTAAAGGAAATTGATCTTTAAAGAATAAGAAAAACAGCTAATAATACATGCTAGCTGTAAAAGCATAGTCCAGCTTGGAAATTAGGAAACGTATCCATCAGAAAAAATCTGAAACCTCATACTAAGTATGAAAGATTGTGCTGCAGCGCATGGTGGCCAAGAGAATTGGTCCACAGCTTCTGATCAGAACTTGGGCCTACTAAACTATTCTGAGAGCCCGGAATTTCGAATAATGCTGTGCAAAATTGATTGGTCTTCATGTCACGTGAAGTAAATAACAGTACGGAGTCTATCTGGATGAAGGAGATGATTGGAAGGCTGCTATAAGAGATTCAGCTCGTGCTTCTATTTCTCTGATATACTCGGCCAAAACTCGTTGCTGATATGATCCGTTTTCCTGCAGTCGCAACAAAATGGAACCTGTGAGAACCCCCTAAAGAACAAAAACCCAAAACTTAACGGTCAACAATTTGAAGAAAAAAACTCCTAACTGGAGTCCGTGCACCCAAAGCCTTCGCGAATACAGTTGGTGTAACAATCCATCTACCAGTAACACAGAATCCACATCATACCTAAAGCTAAGATACACTTCTTAAAATGTAATATAACTAGCATTACAAGCAGGTGAGAATCAACTTAAATGAAAAGAAGATACTTACAGTCCTCATCAGTGTCCGTTCTATTCTTCTATCTACTGCCTTGAAAAAGTCTTCCGATGGAACCTCACCGCCACCGTAAGTGAATCCGTTCCTCAAAAGATCATTCCATTTGTCCTCGTCCACTGGATGGCAAAATCAAGAAACAATGAGTCTCCAGGAACCCAAAGATGATACACGCATCATCAAAGAGAGACTACAAGTTATATTTCTTTGATACAAATATAACAGCTTTAACACAAGCAAACCCATTCTGCTTTTCAGCATTTAACTTCAATTGGAATTCCGCAGAAGTTGAACTGCCAAATGACGTCTATGTTAACAGTGAGAAAGCATACCATCCATTACTTTCTCAAGCAGCTCTTCAGCTTTATCGACAACACCATCTGTAACCAGTACAGTAAAATAATGTTTAATCGATTGTCATCGCTTCAGACTCAGTGAGCAATCTGTAATACGCATATCATATAACAGCGGCTGGTGGAACCTTCTATACCCTTATGGTCTAAGAAAAACTAAACAGAATCAAAGATCTATCATCCCTCTAACATTTGAAGGCAAGGAATTCTGAGTTGAAGAACAAGACTTCTGTTCGTCTCTCAAATACACTCAAACGTTTCATATTAGGAACTCAAATTCTCCCAATCTACCATGTCAAGGGTGCCACATTGGGGTGCCCAAGTTTGTTATGGTTAAGGACCCCATACCTTTCATAGCGTAGCTGCGCTTAGAAAGTAAGCAAGCTGCGTAGAGCTGTAGAACTTTCTGAAGGATAGCTACCAGTCCAGGTTTATCTTTATCCTCCTTAGCCTAGCACCAGCATCACTTGTCAGATAATCTCCTAGAAATTGCAAAATTAGTGTTAATTAAAATTCGAAGGCAAGAATTATGTTCTTATAGATTTCGTTGAAATTCTGAATTATTCATGAGCAACCAGGTGCATGCAAACTCACAAGTCAAATCCAAAGAGGAGAAATTCTTACTTGTCGTAATTGCGCACTGACTTCAGACAGAAAACTTTCATCCAAGAAGTTCTCCAACTCCCTTTTTTCGACTTCCTGTCATTTCAACTGAATCAAGTTTAATAAATATGCCAGCGTATTACTAGATGTATAATACACCAGGTTCATGTCATGAAACAAATTAATCCCCCGTAAAACCACATCTTGTGCTAAAATACGTCTGAAAATCCAGAGGAACATCGACTCCAAAATTCCGCTAACATTTGTTTTCGTGCTGGTTGTTCTTGTTGAAATCTATATTGCTACACTTGTATCCAGATCGAAAAAGAGTTACTCCGGCACCTTGCGCATTTCAATAAGCGACGCTTCATTCCTTGGTGGCCAAACGATTTCGTTATCATCTTCCGTCAAAGGCTTAATGATAGCTTTCAACACATCTGTGGAGGACTCAATTTTCTCCTGCAGAATTATTCAAACAAGACACCTCAGAGGAGAAACAGCTGAAAATTTTGAAAAAAACTAAAGATATTGAATTAATATCAAAAATGAAGCCATTATAGGGCTAAAGAGCATTTAAAATGCGTACCTTGGTCTTACTCACAATCCGCTCGACGATGCTCATTATTTGAGAAGCCAGTTCTTCGTACTCTCCCTGCATCAAGACATACCAGAGAAGGAATAGAATGAATCCCTCAGGCATTGACCCTAACCATCTTGAGGGTTATTGTATCACGTTGGACTTGACTGGCTTTCGCCGTCTGTGAGGGATAGCTTGCAGCAAGGTATCACGTAAACAGTATCAAAAGTCACTCTAGAACACCTCTCCCTCCACTTAACAATGATCAGTACTCTCAATGTTTCTATTGAAAACACCGAACTACAGTGGAATCACTTTGGGAAATTCTGGGCTTCAGCACGATAGATATTCAAGAAGGAATTGGACGAAATAGTAATAAGAAATTGAAAAGTGAACTTACTCTGTCGTCATCTGATGTGCACAGGTCAGCCCGAGCAGCGAGACGGAGCCAAAAGGGGGCATCGAATGCTAAGACGTTCTCTGCCACTAGCTGTGCCATCTGAGGAGCCAGAAGGACAATCGAACCAGAGAATCAGCTACACCTAAAATAAAGAGACAGCAAAAGGCTAGTAACACTTGAAAGACATTCTCATCCTGATAACCCTACTACGATTCTGCGGAAGTGGAAGCCGACACAGAAATCCGAATCGTTCTTTCCAGATAAACACGTTATTCTTTAGAGACGCATATGCACTCACATTATGATATTCAGTACTCCGAAGGTTGTCAATAAGACGATCGATTTCCACAGTTGTTTTGAAAATCTTCTCTGTGGAACTTGCAGCAACGTGAACTGTCGATTTTCTGCTCATTCCCGGAACCCGCATAATGTTTTTCAGTACAAATGATGAATGAGCATCTGTCTTTACTCCACAAGAATCTGTTGGGGGAGGTGCAATTAATCACCTAAGGCTAAACAAGCAAAGAAGGCGTGACCTTGCAAAAGTAGAATACCTCGAGCTAAAAGAAGAAGAAGAAGTACTCAAGAAAGGGGCCCATAATCGTTGCCGAAAATCAAAGGCACCGGATCCACATATAACCCTGCTCCAAGCCTTGCCCATTAGACCCAGACATTATTTGTTAATGCCTCGAGCCTCTTCAACATACAGTAAATTCAACACAACAATCCACTTGGAAATCTGACTACGCAGGGGGTTTAATTCAACATTAGGTTGAAAACCAAAGAGCTCATTCTCTCATTCTCTTCTAAGCAAATCCGGAACACCAACACAAATCTCCACCCATCTCCTGTTGGAGCATTGATACAGTGGCTGATACGCCAGACGACAATAAACGGTACTGGAAAAAACGCTAGTGGGCATACTTCAAAACCACACAACAACGCAATTCAGCGATCTCAGGCTTCTAATTCACACAACTATCTGGCGGCACAGAGATTTCTACAGTTGCCCATGGCTCTAAACACGGGATAATTCTGCCATACCTGGCGACTGGAAGAGTGGACTGGTCTCGCCTCCACCACGGTAGGGACAACCCGAGAAGAAAGAGACACGCTGGCCATAGCGCATCCCGCTGACATTGCCGCTGCCTCCTAAGCTTTTTCCCTTCCTTCAAATCTCACTCCCCTTACCTCCCTCCCCACTCCTCGCTTCGCGCTCACCAAATTTCAGCCAAATCCCAGTGGCGATATCAGAAACCTCCAATGGCACCACAAGACTACAATTTCCACTCCACAAAGTCACCAACCACTCCACCCCAGCTGCTGCAAACTCTCGATAGCACCACACCCGAGAATTAATCTCTTCGGATCAAATCCGGGTGATCGTCGTGCGGTCGCGGCTCGCTGGCTGGCTGTGTGGTCGGTGCCTACGAGGCCTCCTCCTCGCACCCTCCTCGCCATGGCCGCCATAGCCGCCAACACGAGTCCAGAAGACCGATCCCAGGCCGGGCTTGCCCCGGATCTCAACCCGGCCCGACTCATACCCGTGCTTCTATCCAGTCCCCCCCCCTGTCGCGAAGGACCCTCCCGTTTTAGGGGGTCGCTGTCGTGTCAGCACTATCCTACGTGGATGGTGACGTGTTCGTCTTTCGTAGATATGTCTTGGAATTGTTCGTATAGTAAAAATGTTTCGTGGATGGGTTAATTATGTTAATAAACTTGTATGTTTTGATGTGGATATTAAGTTGGAACCATACTCTTTGATTAATGACTACCAATTTATTATTTATTTGGGAGAATGTTAAATAGACCCAAGTTTTCATTAAATCAATCCACCCATCCTAACCATCATGAAAAAAAAATAATGGCCTCTAGATTCATTTCTCCACTATTAGATCTGCACCCAATAAAAATCAACCACATTCATCACGATTACCATATTTTTCAACAATAGTGGATTTATTTAATAAAAGCATGGATCTATTTAACATTCTACTTTATTTATTATAATAGTGCGGAGGATGCCAACCAAGTTCAAGTTATCTACTTGTAATAAATCGACTTATTTTTTTCATTTATTAAATTATTCATTGTATTATATATATATATATATATATATATATATATTTAAATAGTAGCATTGAAGCTAAGTTAATTTTTATTAACTTTGGCATTTCTAACTATACCTTTGATCATATTCCAAACTTGCTTATTGCATGTTTTATCCAGTGGCATCCTAGGATTTATTGTAATTTTCCTTTTTCAATTCATTGATTGTTACTATATGAGTGAAAATGTAAGCTATACTATGGATTTATATTATAAAATCTTGGACCATGCAAAAATATAAAATAATCAAGTTATTCTTATTTTGAAAGTTATAGAAAGTAGAAAATTTCAATCTAAAAAGATACTGATGTGAGTATGATATCTACTTTATATAACTTTAAAAATATTGTGAAATTTGATTGTAAGAGATTAACTGCAAAGATAGAAACAAGCAGCATGAAGATTACTTTATATCAAAGGGAAGTTGGAGAGGCATTGGAGGTGAATTTTGAAGAAGGATTGGTAAGAGAAGTATGGCTAGAAGAGAAGTTTATAATGGTGTCAAAGGATGAAAATAATTAATAGTTTTTTGTGTTTTACTAAAAGTAAGTTGATTCAAGATATAGATAGATTGATTTAATTATTTTATCAAAAATAATTAATTTAATCTATTTTTATATCTATTGTGATTTGATATTAAAAAATAAAGATACCAAATATCTTATTGAAAATAAATTAAATGAGATGTTTTCTTTTAATTTAGATCTTATTAAATAATGTATCAATAACTATTTTGTATAAAAATAAGAAATTTATATAATGAAAGTTATAAGAATAAACTAAAGTCACTTTTGGATAGTTAAAATATTTAGCAATCTATTCAAATTAATTAGAAGATATTGATATATAGATTTTACACATATATATATATATATATATATTTATAAACATAATTACAAATATCATAATAAAAAGAATATTTTAAAAAAAATAGAATAGAAAAATAGAATTATCACTAGTTACTTATAACATAGAGCTCTTAAAGACTGATTCTCATAAAACTTTGTTGTTACAAGTAATGAAGAGATAAAAGTTAAAGTGATACATACCAAATACATATAATAAAGAATTATAATTCTTAATTGAGCATAAAAAATTAACTTGTGACTTATTGTACCAATTGTTATTGTGCCAATCGTTATGACCAAGATATTTGTTTCTTTAGCATGTACACTTTTTTGATCTACATCTATATACATATATATATATATATATATATATATCTGTATAGTTCTAACTTTCAAATAGAAAAACATAGTTAATAAGATAATTTTTTATTAAAAGCAGTTCTTTAGAAAGAGAATGTACTTTCACATGTATTTTAATTCTTGTTCAATTGATTATTGTTGTCATAAAGCTGCTAAATATATAAAGGTTTGAACATATAAAATTAAAAGAAAGAATCTTATACTTAATTTAAATTGAGTTGATATATATATATATATATATATATGAACATTGAGTCAATGTTTTTTTCAAATATATATCAACTCAAATCAATATATTTAAATTGAGTTCATATATATATATTTATATATATATATATATGAACATTATTAATTTTTTTAAAAAATTAAACAAGTAATTTTTTTTTTTGTTTTGTTTTCCTAGTTTTCTAATTTGAAGCCAACAAGAAATAGTTTAGTCTTATATATATATATATATATATAACTACATGAATATATATATATATATATATATATATATATACATACACATGTAGCAATTTTTAAAAATCTTAAATATTCTCTACCTTGAAACTAAGTTCTAAGAATTATAAATTACACAAATCATTGCATATTATCCGTTAAAATAACAGATACTGATAACAAAATATATTGCAAATATAGCGAGTTGAAATGAGTAAGAAATTCATGTGTTTGTAGAAGGATCGTTGATTCCATTTCGAAATGCAAAACCTTCTCTAGCGTAACTTCAACAATCTATTTTTTAAAATAAGTGATCAAATTCAGTCTGAAAGGTGGCTGTTACATTAATATCATTATCGAATATGTCAAGATGCAGGAATTCTGGGATGTCAAGTTATGCTAGAGAAGGTTTTGCATTTCCAATAACAACACCTTGTTGAATTGATTCAGTGCATGAGTTAATCAAAACTGGTTGCTTATTACGTTAATTTCTAGAGAGATGAACATCATCTTCACTACAGTCTGGGATTAACATCGATTGCGATGTACAATTCATTTACCGTTTGCTGTCTAATTTTCTCAGATCTGTCTACTTTTTTCTATCTTTTTTTCTGTTTTTTTTTTTTTTTTTTCGTTTCAGTTGGGTACATTCTCCTCAATTCATAAAGTCTTTAAGATCGATACTCGGAAGCTGCATAAGCATGCCGAAAGGCAGCTGAAGAATGCTGCAGTGATCCACAAGCACACTCTCAAATGCCAGTGTGACACTTTGAAACTGGCGACCTATCAATCGTCTTTGATAGTGAGCCCATCAAGCTTGCATGAAGACACCTTCGGAGTTCTCTCCAAAACTCTGTGCGCCACAAACATAATCCTTTTTCACATGAAGTTTAGGTGTGGGTTTTAGTCCATCTCCACAATTCTGCGGATTCCAGTAGCTCTTGCTCGCTCAGGAGTTCTTTCTAGGAATAGCTCTGGCCCCAGATGTTCTCACAAAAAAAAAAAAAAAACAACAACAGCAAAATGCTATTTCTCGGCACCCGACTGCACACAGGCCTGGCTCTAATTCATAGCTTCCATATTTACACCCTGCATGTGTAATGAAGACTCCTGATCTGCTTATACGAGGGAAGTAAAATCGAGCCCTGCTTCGGAGATGGAAACCTTTGATGCCAAAATTTAACTTTAAATCTTAAAAAGTAGAAAATGAGAATACCAAACCCTGGGTGACAAGGGAAATGGCACACTGATCCATTAAAGATAGTCTACTAAGCAGTCCACAAGAGATTGTTTGAGGTGGCCGTTTGAAGCTGCTATCAAATGCGACATCATGTCAAATTCCCCTCCAGACCTGCGGTTAAAACGACCACACAGTTCTTCACAACAGAATCGAAGCAGCAATCAAGCTTTGCAAGAAACAATAACATTATTGTGAGTAGTTGCAGAATTCATTGCATTGCAATTTCAAATTAGAATTAACAGGTATTGAAGATGCTCACGGATCATAGACTAGTCCACCAGCTTCTCGCAATATCAAAGTCCCTGCAGCAACATCCCTGGTTCCAGTTTCAAGAAATCAGGCAATCCGTGGACATTGCATTCGAAACATGACAAACTCCAGATTCGAAATTACTTGGGTTTCATATCAATCACGAGTTGCTCACCAGGGACCTCCGAAACCTAGCTCGTAGAACATGTCAAGCCTCCCACAGGCAACGCCGACTAGGTTCATGGCGCAAGAGCCACTAAGACGAAGAGACCGCACCTGCGAAAAGAAATAAAAGCCAGTATGTCAACGAGTCATCTTACACCTTGAAAGGTAAACGACTAAAGGAACAAGCAAACAACACCCACATTTTACAAACCTTATAGAGCATATCGTTAATTAGGTTAGTGGTACGGTCGACTGTGTGTTTATCTCGCTTCGTTCCGATCTCGGTTGCGAGCAATCCATTTCCTATGTGCTCTTGGCTTGAAGCTGCATCATCAAAGTCAAACAGCTTAAGGATCAGAAATTCAGATATATAATGTACCTCAGTGACGTGATGGCAACTAAAAACTCCTTGGAGAGATGACGCTGAGAGAAACTCACCATAGATGCGCTCTCCATTTAAGAAGGCTCCCTGCCCTTGAATTGCTGTGAAAAGCTGAAGATTCAAACCCCACAAGAAAAAACATTTGGTTCAATCTTCAGACTAACATTTTTATATTAAAGGAAGATTTTTTGACATGAAGTTGAATTTGGAGTCACTCTTGGGTCGCTACAACGAAACCTAGAATTCAGGAAGATATAATGTACCTCCTCAAGCAGCGGGTTATAAACGACACCAACGACGGAGACCTTGTTTATGACGAGACCAATGGAGACGCACACAAAGGGAAATTTGTGCACGAAATTTGTGGTGCCGTCCAGGGGGTCAACCACCCAAGTCGGCGCATCTGTCAAGAGTGGAATTCCGCTTTCGGAAGATTCCTCCTCTCCTATTAACTGTCAACGAATCGAAACCATTGTGAGAAATATGTCTCCTTGTTGCGAGGAGAAAGAGTATACGAGGCGCAAAGACTGGTTGGTGGGAGTACCTCATGGGACGGAAATGATGTCTTGAGCTGCGTGAAGATCAAGTCCTCACAGGCCTTGTCCGTCTCGGTGACGAGATCCACCTGTAAAATGATTCCATTATTGAATTTTGTACAGAAGAAGGCAGGAATAGAGCTGACACATTCTCCAAAGACGATGTGCTTACCATGCCCTTGTGTTCGACAGCCTTCGCTATGTGGAAACCATCCTTGATGATCTGCCCCGCTTTCTTAGCAACGTCCACTGCAACTGCTAAGCAGGTCTCCAGATCCTCTACACTTGCCAAGAATTTACATCAATTAGGTCCACTGGTGACCACTGAGGTTGAAAATCAAGGGCAAAACACGGACAGGACTCGTTGGCCAGGGATGAAACTACACACCACACTGCTGAAGGCCCATGTTGGTGAAGCCGTCCTTCGGAGGGCACGACCCTTGAGTTCTGAGGTAAATTCAGAATCCCTTTCAATACGAAACTGAAAACATCAAGACACGTACAGTAAAAACAAAATAGAAGCAGACAAAAAGCTGAAAACCGTAGTCCCGCTCATGGAATATTGATCGTAGGGGTTTTTATTTTTTATTTTTTTATTTTTTCCTTTTTGCAGGCACGCATTGTGCCTATCTCGCTTGTTTGAGATTGTACTCGCTACAATCTCAAACAAGCGAGATAGGCACAATGCGTGCCTGCAAAAAGGAAAAAATAAAAAAATAAAAAATAAAAACCCCTACGATCAATATTCAATGGAGCGGACAGCGCACAGGCGAGGAAGAAGACGAACCTCAGTTGACTCAGCTCTCGGATCGCAACTCAGTACAATTGGCATGAGCTACTCGCCGGAACAGCATTGCACAAAAAATAAAATCACGAAATCAGCCGCGATGCCTACTACTGAACCCCGCAACCAAATTCAGAACTACAAAACCCACTTAATCGGTGAAGCAAACAGAACGATCTCGCTAGCCCAAACGTACCCAAAAATCTACTCGTGACGAGAAACAAGCCGCCGAGTCGGCAATTCGCAAGCGCTCCTCCCCACTCCACAGGGAATCTCAACAGAAGTGCGGAAAAATAACAAAACATGGAATTGCAGATGGGGGATCACAGTAGTGGGAATTGCGTGAATCCCTTAGAGCTCCTAAACCTGATGATTCCCTTGCTGCACCAGCGATACAACACTTATAGAAATGGACACGAATTTCGTGCGCGCTTCGCAGGAAACGCGGCTGGAATCCATGGTCTCAATGCCTGTCCCGTAGTAGAAATCCCCCCACCCCCAAGGCAAGGATAGATGGATGAATGAATGACTGAACCAGCGCATCGCCTGATGAACTGCAAATGGATGAACGTGGGGGCGAGTGGGGGGAGTGGGGGCTGAGCGGCGGATAAGAAAGTGCGCCCCCCCTTGCACTTCATCCATCCATCCCTCCTCCCTCTTCTCTTCCGTCCGTTCCTTTTTCATTCATTTACTCATTTGGTTTTTCTTAACGCACTTTTGCTGCTGTATTGACGGGTGAGTGTTGCAATTATTGAAAACTATTCCTACTTCAATAAATAACTTTGAAAAGCTCTACATCATTGGTGTAAATACGTTTCAGTTATTCTTGTTGTGGTGTACTTGTTAGGAAAACACTTGCTCAAAACAAAACAAAACTAATTTAGTTTAATCTAATTCTAAAAAAATTTGCAACAATTTGCAAAGATTTTATTTTCTTGTCTTTGGAAGTTTAAATGGTCATTACAAGTGAAATTTTATCATTGAGGCTACCTCAGTACTTTCGTTGATACAAATTTCAAATGTAAAATATATAAATGTGTAGATATATAAATGTGTAGGTTGGTATCCAATTTGAATGGAGCATGCAACCAGAATACTATACTACTAGTTGCATCTATAGAAAAAATAGATGCTCGTATGGTATTCTTTGAGAGACTTTTCACAACTTGTGTAATACCAATAACTTAATCACACAAATATTCCCACAATAAAGTAATGTTAAAGATCTTATCTATAGATTTTTATTTTTATTTTTTTATCCAAGTTATCCTTATATGTTCAATAATGAAAAACTCAACACAGGGACTAGACATAAACTTGTATGAATGGAAGTGGAAGTTGAAGTACTAAAGGCCTCTCTGTAAAAAGTGCCAAGCACAAGTACTTAAAAGCATTTCCATAAAATGTTTTTAAACAAGGAATAGTTAGTTTTTTTAAACAGAAGCTTTTCGTTAAGCTATTGTTTGATTAACAAATAATAAAGATTTAGAGAAGTCTTTTAACAATGTGATGGATGACAATTCAAGCAAGGGGGTTAGAATTATAAAACATATTCCCACCGCACTCTATGAAGCTTGACATCATCCACAACACTTATCAAGCAAGCAAGAGTTTTCAGTTTAACAATGACAATAACAGGATTGTCAGCAACACATCATCCTTTGTACCAACACAGAGGAAACACAAACCATGTGACCTTCGGGCTTTTATACTTGTCGTCCATCCTACTTCTTCATACACAAACATGCACAAAACACTGGTTTTAGGGTTCCGTGTTCACGAATACAACCAACAAAAACCTCATGACTTTTCAGCTGAATTTAATCGAAATCGCAAAAGCACGAGTATGACACAATTCACGACATGAAACAACAAGGATGAAGCGATAAACACGACGATAAGTTATCAGTCTACGGATGAAAAAAACTCGAGTAAACGTCAGGCAGATTGATCGTAGCTTGAGTGTGCGAGCAGGCTGGAGTTGACGATTGAGCCGTGACGGTGAATCGGCGAGGGAGGTGGTGAGAACTGCAGGAGAGGAGGAGGGCGATTAGCGGCGCGGAGGATGTGCACTCCCACCGACCAGCCCCTCCCTACAATCTAGATGTCCACGCAGTGGGGGCATGCTCAGGTTCATTCGATCGTGAGGGGGTTGGTGATGCCGCCTTTGCGAATTCCCTCAAACGTGCGCGGAACGTTGCGGAGTGAGGCTGCCACCACCTCCTAGCCTAAGAGTGTGGGCGAGCACAACTCTGTTTTCTTAGCAAAGCGAAGACAAATTGCGGTTGGATGCGAACGTCTCGACGCAGCAATATCCGACGAAGGTCAAGTGAAACTTAGCGCAGCTTTCTTCGCAGTTGTTGACTCTCGGTGGATGGATGAAAATTCTGCGCGACAGTGCTTGCTAAGTAGGGGCAAATATTCTACCAGAAACTGAGCTTGAACGACTAGATTCCATGTTGGTCTTAAAATAGGGTGCGGGTATGAAATTTCATTTGGGTGTGGACATGGCAGGACTTCCGTGTCAATGTTTTGTGATCGTGGTATATATAGATATACACTTCTTTCATGAAAAGACGTGAAGAAACGTGTGGATTTAGGGTGCCCATTTAAAAGGGACCATAGGACAAATCCGGGCATCAATCCATGCAGGAGTGTGAAGGGTATTTGAACCTTGTTGCGAAAGAAACCATTCAGAAGATTCATGTTGTGAGCCTATATTTGCTAGTTTTTTTTTAAAAGTTTTAATTTTAATTTTTTTTATACGTTTTTTTTGTCAAAAAGACATTAGACTTGAAAGTTGGGAGGTAGGGGTATAATTCCAATTAAGTCTTAGAAGTGGTATTGATGGTGTAGACTCAATTGTAAGAGATATATTATTTAAAATATGTGCATGTGTAAATGTATTTTTAGTATATTTCTTTATTTTTTTCATGATATGAATTTTGGTTTCTTGGTTTTTTCACAACAAAATCTTTTGCACCAAAAATTTGTAGAGGTTGAAGAAGTGGATTCTAAAATACATCAAGATGCTATTTTTGATCCTTGGTTTATTATGGATTTACATTAGTTAATGTTTTGCAATATATTTTCTCAGATTTAAAATAAAATATATATATATATATATATATATATATATATATTTACATATGATTCAATGTTAAAATTTGTATAAAATTTTTAAGACACTCAACATTAAATATTTACAATTCGAAAGTAGTCAACATTCTTATACCCAATCATCAATAATTTTGCTATTCATAATATGAGATCCTTCAATACATAAGCTTTAAGCTTAAAAGGTGCACAAAAATATGCAAATACCATGAGCATACATAATAATATTAGTATTAAATTAAACAAGAGAAATTAAATAGAAATAGATAAATTTGATAATATCTTTTAGATGAACTTTTTAGAAGCTCTATCGACGCAAATTTGACTTCCGTAGTGATTATATGTGATTGATAAGTTCAAAACTTGGTCAATAAATTGACCATATATTACACATGATGACTACTTCGTTTATAAGTTGGCTCCTTATTGTACAAGTTGACTATGAAGTGTTGTTAAGGACATGAATTTCAAACAATCAAAACCTTAATACATTCTTAGATCATTCAAAAATAATAGATATTAATTCAAAAATAATAAAATATTATATCTTCTTTTTTTGTGTGAAATAATAACATTTAAAAAAGATGTTTAACAAACCATGTAGTTTTTTTAATTGATAAGTAATTTTGAATTAAATTCTTAAAAAAGAAAATGCTCCAATAACCTTAGTAATAATTAAAAATACGTATTAATATAAAAATACATGAAGTTTTTGTAATTTGTATAAATAATCATTAGACTAGAAGCACCTTCTAAATAATTGTGCTATTCTCAAAATGATTCTATAATTGTGAAAAGTTCTTTATTTTTGATCTTATAATTATTCTTAATTGTTAAAATTTTAAGTATTAGATTGTTTACCTTTGGTAGGATGTCAATAGTCATCATTTAGTCTAGGTCAGTTGTTGTGGTCACATCAAAAATTATGTTGAGGATATTACAAGCTATTCTTAAAAAGTCAATTGATAGATGAAAAGATATTATAATAGTAGAGTCCAATGGAGAAATTATAGTATGGGAGATATAGCAAAGTAATCCTAGATGGAGGCTCAAATACAACACCTTTTAAGCCAAATAGCTAATTTGCAAAGAAAAATAGAAGCCTTGAGGACAAGAGAGTTGACATCTGCTAGGTTAAAATTAAATAAGCCTAGTACATACTCTGGAACTTCAAGATGGAAAGATGTATGTCAATGGCTCTTCAATATGCGACAATACCTCAAATTATTTGAGGCAAATACCACTGAAGGAATTATATATGTAGCCAACTATTTGAGGGATGTGGTAGCCATTTGGTAGGACATTGAGTTCAAAGTTATGGAGCTCAAAGTGGATTTTTTCATTGAGAGGAGTTTGAAGCCGAGTTTAGGAATCAATTTTGGTCCATCAATGCGGAGAAGATAGCTCGCGATCACTTAGCAAATCTTATACAAGCTAGGACTGTGTAAGATTATGTCTCCCAATTCAAATCTTCATGTCTTCAAATTGACAATGTTTTGGAGGCAGAGATGATGAATCGATTCCTATAAGGTTTAAAACTTGGAGTCTAGCGAGAGGTGGAACTAAGAGATCTACAAACATTTGAAGAGGCAGTTTGGATTGCAATGGGTTGATGCTATAGATTTCAAAAATCATGGAGCATGACCTATAGCACAAAGTCCTATGCCACTATCTAATATTATGGCATAACAACTAATGCCATTAGAAACTGATGTCTTACAAGAATCATTGATACCACAAAGATAACAAATATTGGTATAAAAAGGATTGTGTTTCTATTGTCGAAAGCTAGGCCATCAGATTGAAGGTTATCCAAAACATCAAAGAACAAGTACTAACAAGACAAGGCAAGTTCATAGTCTCAAAACTCACCAAGTCGATAATGAGTGAGAGCAAGAAAACGAGGCTCTTTAGTAAAGGCTTCGAGGGCTAATATTGAGAGTAGCTATTGTCTTTGAGAGACAAATGGCATAGCCTTATATAACTATAAAAAGAGTCGATTGGTACATCTAATGGAACTACTAAGAGAACAACCATGTCGAGTGCTTATAGATTGTGGCTCCATAAAAAATTGCATCTCAACTGAAATTATCAACTAGCTTCAAATTAAAACTAAGGAAATCAAAAGAAAAGTGTATATCTTGCAGATGATCTAGAAAATGTATTGAGTGAAACATGTAAAGAAGAAACCTTGAAATTGATGAATATCCATGTCTTAAGAGAGATTTAAGGTAATAAAGCTAAGGTATGATATTATCCTTAATATGCTATAGTTGAAGATGAAAAATAAGCAAATTGATTGGATAGCAAGGGCAATCTCTTTTGAAGCTAAAAGACAC